TAATCACTGGGCTCTAAAGTCATTTTCATTAATTCAAGAAACTTGCCATTTTTCTCTGATAATAATATCATGTGGCCTTACTGAAAGTCTTTTAGCTTTTAAGTGAAGCTACTGAAAGTCTATTAGCTTTTAAATGAAGTGAAGCTTGATATACTTATAACCAATATTATCAACCTTCTCTGATAATATTAGTTATAAGTATATCAAGTTAGTAAAGACATAAGATAGTTGAGAAGCTTTTCCTTGTCAGTTTCTATAATAGATAATTCATGTACATTCTCATTTTTTTCTTGTTAACATTAAGAAGTAGGAATCACTACCTCCATTGTATGCAGAAGAAACTGCAGGTTTAGGAAGAAAATTTATGATTCAATTTGAACTTTGGGTCATGTATTATAAATCTAAGGGATGAAGTTGAGAAAAGACTTAGCTGCATGCTTGGCATGTTTAAGGAACAGCACGTAGATCAGTGTGCCTAGAAGGTATAAGTAACCGAACTCTATTTAAAGATATCAGAGAGCCAGAAATCTAAGAGATTGTTTTTGGGTTTTTCTCCCCCTGACTATGATAAAAGTACTTTAAGATTTACAAACAAGAAAGAAAATCTGGCCTATTACTTAAAAAGATTTCTCTGTTCTTGGGCTTAAGTATTTTCTACCTTATTTTTTCACTTGGATAGAGGAACTAAATTTATTTAGTTAAAATGATATTTATTAAGAAGATTATCTTTAATTGACAATATTAATTGGGTATACTTATGGGATCTAATGTAATGTTTGAGTCTATGTATACATTTCGGGAAGATGTAACTAAGCTACTTAACATATCATTCAACCAATTTATAATTTTGTCCTGTGTGGTAAACATGTTAAAATTGATTTTAACAGTATGGAACTATATAATGTATTAACTATAGTCACTGAAACTGTGTACCTTCCAAGCAACAGTTTTTTAAAAAAATTTCCCATGACTTTTTTCCTCACAACATCTGGTAACTACCTTTCTGTTCTGTTTCTATGAGAATGACTTTTTGAGGGGTGGTAGATATAAGGCTATCATGAAGCTTTCCTTCAGCTAAACCTCAAGTTGAATGCTGTTACAGCTCAACCCAGGAAAG